TTTATGTATTCATTCATTATATCTCCATAAAAGTCTGGTTTTGTATCTCTATATGTAATTTTATAAGTAACCTAAAACAATGGTATAGATATAGAATTAATTTTTTATTTGTTTAGCAGCATATCAACACCTTATGGGTCATTTAATGACATATTTTTGTAAAAGAAATTACTAATGCTCCCAAGATAATTAAATTTTATTACTGATAATGCTTTTTTTTTCCTTACAGAAATGCATTGCTGGTAATTTTTTAAAATTTTATTACAAAAAAAAAAAAAAAAAAAAGTTTTGCTGGTAATTTTTTTTTTTTTTACTATGAAAATTTATTGTTGGTATTTTTATTATAAAACTTTTTATATTTTCATAGTTTTGATCTCAGTTTGGGGGTTAACTATTTGCCCCAAACTGGGACCTTAATAGGTGCTACCCAACCAGGTCAGAGTGAACATGGGAACAACAGCAATTAAGATGAAGAATTGCCAACATAATTATTCGGTTTATTTCACCTACTGTTCTAACCAAGGACTTACTGACCATGTTCAGGGATTCATTATTTTGGCTTATATGGAATAATTTCTATGTTCTGATTATCATTGTTCCTGATAAACTAGATTACAGAGATTTCGTTATCCCCTCAAGCACACTTTAAAATGGTCAGAGAATACTTATATGAAACATTGTCGATAACAATCAAAGATGAAAACAATAGTTTGCATAATTAATTACACTATTTACAGGCAGACTATTGGCCTCATCTTTGTTGTTGCTATGAGGACAATAGTTTGCATGTAAATAGTCTAAGTAATAGTAACTCCTCATCTCAGTAATTTAGCTTGTATAAGTCAAATAAGTCATATTACTATTACTTGTATAGGAGGAAAAAAAAATTGTGTGTGTGTGGAGGGGAAGCTTCTGGTTGTTAGTGATTTTACTTGAATTGTCAGCAAGCAAGTTGATTGAATTAAATTCAAAGTAAAATATCATCTATTTATTTGTTCAATGGGTTTCTAAGAACTACCGGTGATTCTTGCTTTTAACTACATGACTGTTCTTAATCAGATGTGAATTAGTCCCATATTTACTTATTGTTTCCATGTTCAGATATGGCAAACAAAAATAATTTACTAATTCAAACAATTTGGCACCTGATATATAGGCATTGTGTGTATAGTAATAAAACAGTTAAAGAAGATAGGTTTAATTTGTCACTGTTAGATTCCTTTCTTTCTTATGTATTTCAGATATGCAATCCTGGATTTGATTGGTCATTCAGCTTGCATGCCAATTTTAACAAGTAGGCTTTTATGAGACAGAACTGCAAGCTCAACTCTCTTTTTTTTCTTTTGCTATTTTTATTCATAGTTTAGGATGAGGAGAGGAAAATGAATTCCACCTCTAGTTCAGAGTTGTCCATCTCTTACATTTTTTGCTAATCAAGTATAGAATGAGTGTCACTATCTGGTTATTTGACTCCTAGCTGTGAGAAAAAGAGATGAATCCAGGCCTTTCCAAAGCACAAAGCTAACCATAAACTGTCTCTGCCAGAATTCCCTTTTTCCATGATGTTAACTGTTAAGCCACCTGTACCTTCATAGATAAGAAAGAAAAAAAAAAAAAAACACCTTTGTTGTAGATATTGGTTTTGTAAAAAAAAAAAAACAAAACAAAAAAAAAAAAAACATATGTATTTTAAGAGGGAGGTTTGTTCATAATGGCCATTCAAAAAAGGAAGCCAAGATGCAGTTTTAAGAGCAGATATCACAATGCTGTAGGGATGCAGGAATTTTGGTACAATTGATATGATAAAGGTAAAATAACATAACAATGAACAGTGATGCTTGGAGATGCCTGAGCAAAGATAAGGTCAGTCATTCAATGATTCTCTAAACAATTCAAGACATGAATTGATTACTTTTGAGTTTTTTTCTGAAAGTCAAATGTAAATATTTATGTTACTATGTTATGAATAGGACAGAATTTAAAAAAAAATCTATATAAAAAATAAAACAAGTTAAACTGGCTGGCAGAGTGCCCTTAACTAACAAATGACCTATCCTAGATATATGCCTGCAGCTCTCTGCAATATATATACAAGAGGTTTTGATTTAGAAACAATGACAATGAAGAGTAAATGGGTCTAACTTGATGATCATAGCATCTTTATTTGGTTGGCTTGTAAATTTGCACAATCTGATTTTTGTTTTTGTCTTTAAATTGAACTTTACATTTAAAAGAAATATCTATAATGTATCTTTTATAATACAACTATAAAATTCTTGAGTAATGTGTACCTGAACAGAAATTAACAGAGATCTATATTGATGAGTCAAAACAATATATCTAACAACATGAACAAAGGAAAGGATAACAACTGTCTCATAACAACTGTATATATTAAGGTTTAAGGTATATAAGCAGGTAAGTTAGCCTTGACTACTTCATTTTGATGCACTGAATGCTGCAGTTATAGGCAAGAATAACTATAAGTGATTTTTTGATAAAGGCCAAATTATGACATTTTTGAAATAGCACAGCTTGTGTTAATCTGTGTTGAGTACATATCAGTAGTGATTTGAGGAAGGTAAAAATCACCAATTACTGAAAAGACATTGAGAAAAATTAATGAAAGCTTTCCTGCCAAGTATAAGCCAACAGAAGGAATTCCATCATACAAGCTGCAAACAGCTTTAATCAAGGTAAAAGAAGTAATGTGTCACAACTCACAGCACAACAATCATTGTTGCATATGGGGCCAGTCAGAGCTGTAAGCCAGTCAGAGTACACACATGAACCAATGTCAATTGCCAAAGTATTTTCAGTGGAGATTCAAAACTTAAAACTGGAGCATGTATCACTAGAAAGTGGTTGCCTGGCCCAATGTATCTTGATCTTCTCTGAATAAAGTGGACAATGAAGTACATATGTGTGTGTTGTTATCCTGGTGGATGTGTATGGCTAAAAGGGTCACTCTGCAGAACTCCCACCATATAATCTTGTAATTAAATAACTTGCTGCACAAAATCTCATGAAATCTTCAGAGGGCTTATAGGATTCATTCCTAATTCAGTAAAAGTTGCTGTCATAATGTTTTGGCGCATCAGTGCCTTGCTGATTATGCCTACAGAATAAGGCTTTTCTAAAGATAATCTGAAATTTTATTGGAGTGAATAAATCTGTTAAATTGTTCTTTCAGGTCATTTCAAACAGCCAATAAAAATGAAAAACAGTAACCATTTGCTGAGCATTAAATTATAAGTTATCTTCAGAAGTTAAAAAAAATGTTAGTCAAAAAAAAAAAAAAAAAAAAAAAAAAAAAGAAAAAATACTACTTAGTTTGTACAACATCTCCACTACATTTCTTCATAGACTATTAAAATCAATTTGGAAAGTAGGAAACCATTTAACAAATATTGCAATGACATTATAAATTACTTCAAACTAAATTTCATTTTTATATTCAATATTATTCAAAGAGAGTGGGTTTAAATTCAGTGAGAAAAGATTTGTAAAAATTTACTGGTATGAGAAAACATTACTTAGACAATTACTTTATATTACTGACACTATCCTTTACATACTAGGGGATGTTTTCAGCCTGAATCATTTTATAAAATTTGACTAAGCATCAGAATTTTTTTTTAATGTGTTCTTGTATGGAGCAAGAAGGTTTAAGTACTTCTTTGTATATTGATTTAAATCTATTAAATAAAAATTTGGAACCTTAATAAGTATTATTTTAAGTAACTGATAGCATTTCAGCAAAAGCATCCAATGTTTGAATGTTTAAATATTCCCTGGTAATTTTTATTGTTTTTTTTAAGCTTTATTGTTTAAAATATAAAAAATAGCACAAAGATTTAAATTCCCTGCAAAATTTTGGAAGCATTTTATTTACATTAACCATGGATATGTCAGTTCTCAGAATGGTAAACAAAACATTGGCAGGACTGTTTCTGGAGTTTTTGTAAAAATTAAAAAATGTTATATGTTGATTTGAAGTTTGGTTTGTGTAGTTATTAAGATATATATTGGAAAACTTACAAAAGTTATAAACATTTACTTTTTTTTGTAACACTTTAATAATTACCAAAATAGTAGTTTAGAAGACATTTATGAATTATCTCTGGTCCAAGGCAATAAATATTTACTTAAGCTATGACTAAAAAAAATAATGGTATAAAAATCAATTTCAATGGAAATTAAATTCCTGAACTATTCTCAGCTTACTTTTAATTGTAAAACCCAATTTGATCCAATCATTAATTACACAATTTTCAAGAGTACCAATGCAATTTAGCCAATTTTAAACAGCATTAATAAGCAAATTATCAATAATTTAAATATTGCTTACAGGAACAATTTATGCCAAAATCAAGAAATAAAAAGAATGGCATTTTTTTTTTAGGGATAAAAAAATAAAATTGAAAACATGAGAACTGGAGAAAAATGAAAGAAAAAGAAATAAGAGAAGAACAAGTATACCATTTGGTACAAAAGATCAAAGTCTGTACATGTATCAAGTGATATAAAAAGAACTGGTCAAAGATTTTTCTTATAGAAGATGCCATATTATACCATTTCAGGAGGCTGGCAAGACAAGGGCAAGAGCCAAACCAAGTGACACACCATCTGCAGGTGGGGAGTAAATTATGCCTAACATGCATTTGCAACCTCAACCTACACCACCACCATCACCCCACTTCCAGAACAACTCTGGAGATCTTTTAGCATCACAGCATAAGTAGCAATTATAGTAATAGCGGCAGAAATAATAATAATAATAGTAGTAGTAGTATTAGTTATAATAGTAGCAGTAGTTGAAAAGCTGGTACTTGGAGAAAAAAAAATGTCCAAGAGTCCATGCAGTCATGAGTAGTCTGAAGTGCCAGCCTGGAAGCTGCAGATGCTGCAACTTTGATGACAACAGCAGTGGTTTGAAGTGAGTTAATGATTGGTTAGTGACAGCTGGAGGTGAGGCCACGGCTTGGCCACCTACTTACATGTTGCTGACCTCAGGAGGCTGGTAATAGCGTTTGTAGATGGACCTCGATTCACGCAGGAATGCACACAGGTAACACCAATTAACAAAATAAAAAGACAATTAAGCTTCTATATGCTTGGAGGTAATTGTCAATACCTACAGAATTCATCCACCAGATATAATCAGAAATCTTAAAAAGCCAGCATAGACAAAAAAAAAATGAAAATAAAAAAGCCCTTATCTAACAATAAGAAATATTTCCAAATCATACTGTAAAAGAAAAGAAAAGGAAAAAAAAAAAGATGATTAACAAATTATTTCTGATAAGATTCTTTTTAGGCACAGATTTAATATTTTACTAAAGCAACCAAAGAGCTTTATGCAAATGAAAAAGAAAGAATGGACAAAAACATTTGTGAAGTGCATTTATCTCATTTTTCGGTTAAGTTGTGGCCATAACTTCTATAGATCATCGATTGAATTTTTTATTTCAGAATTGTGACAAATCTTAACAGAAATAAATTGAAAATGTTCTTTGTAAATTGTAATAATTTGAAAATTGGTCAATAAACAAAGGAAATTTTACTGAAAATTTTAAATAAAAAAAGACAAATATATAATGAATTCCAAATGACAACTGTGATAATGAAAATAATTAATAATAATATAAGAAAAACGTGGATAAATATAAGTGGTAGAATCAGAATGTGTCTAATATTTTGTTTGGATTTGATTTGAAAACTTGAATTAAGTATGCTATTCTATATAAATTTTTAAATTTTGTGCATCCAATGTATCGAAATGCATAACCTAACTGATTTATTCTACTTTCTATTGCCACTGTTTTGTAGTCTCCTACACTGTAATAGTAGTTTTTGTTTTGGATATCTTGTATGATCTTGGATGCAAATATACTGTGAAAGGTTCTAAATTTATTGCATTTTCATCTTGAAATAAAATTATTTTCTCTTAAATAAAACTGTTTTCTTTAAGTCAAAATGATTAATATTGAGTTTATTATTTTGTAAAAGATCCCTTTTGTGTTCTTATAATCTTTTAAATCCCAAGATTTTTTTTATGTATTACTTGGGATATTTTTTTTTGATAGACTATTTTGTAAATTGTTGCTTCTGGTTCAAAGTTGTTTTGTGTTAATTAAATCTCTTATTGTTTTTTTTTAAGTAGTCATAATGACATTTATATTAAGTTTAGATAAAATCTTTTCAATTATATTCCTTGATGAGATGATAGGTGAGATTATGTTATTTTCTTTTTAATTCTGTAAGCTTTTTTGTGTGCTATATACATGAAATAATTTGGATATTGAAGGAGATTATGTTGTGTGCCTAGATACATAGAACACCAAAAGTTTAAGAAGTTAAACTTAAGGTTCAGCATCCCTGTATATTCAGCATTTCTTGATGTAAAATTTACATACAATCCACAAACATTTGGAAAAAATTTTATACTCATTAAGTTTCAGAGAAGAAAACATTTGTATGCATACAAGAAAAAATAATTAAATCTTAAACTACCTTGTCATTCTTGTTTAGCAAAACATGCATTAAACAAGGGACTGCTAATTGCTACCCATATAAACGTGTGTGTATGTGGACATAGGAATCAACACTGTATAGTGACAGTCAGTTTCACATCTCAACATTATCTTCAGATCCTACTGAAGCATAAAACAGACAATTCTCATGCAATGTCAACTTGTGATATGAAAATGAACACACAACCAAATAGGTCAGAATTTGATCTCACCACTTTCACTTTTCGTACCAATAATCAATATGCTATTAGCATGTAGTGTTGTTGTTGTTTTAGTTTTTGTCTCAAAATGATTCATGAATACTGAATAAGAAAGGAAAATCTATCTAAGACTGGATCTGAACTCTCAAATCTGAGCCAATCCAAAGCTTAGTATTTTATTAATCCAATAAACAACTATTGAAATATTGCTGCTGAATTCACAGATTTGGAGAAGCTAAAGCAACACAAGATACATAAAAAATAATTTAATAAATCAATTCATATTAACTTTACAAGAAATGTACATACATAAATACAAACTGTACATTATCTCATCTAGTTTATTCAGCAATAAATTGGATTCAGAATATTTTAACTAAGGAAACTCAAATGAGAAAGAAAAATTTAATTTTAAGGTTTTCTGAATGCTTAACCTGTGACAGTTTGATTCATTCATTTGCTGTTGCCTTTTGTAAGCAATGAATTTTGATTGTGTTCTCGACAAATTTATATATTAGTCAATATTGTAATAAACTAATATTAACTGACATTGAAGTAGGGTTGAATATATGATATCAGAAATAGACATTGAATAATCTTGTATGCATAAATATTTTCACATTATCAGTTTTACATGCAGGCAAGACTTTTTTCTTTTTCTGTGAACAAAAGTGTTAAATCAGCCACTTGTATAGAACAGTTATGTTCTTTTGTTCTATTGTTGACCTATACATGTCAATGAAAATAGCATTATTGGCACTGAAGATGTTAACAGTTATGGGAAGCCAAATAATTTATCATCATTGTTTTCATCTAGTTGACATTTCTCTGAAAAAGATCATAAATTTCAGAATCAAGAGATGAAATTGTTTTAAAACAAATACCAACTTAGAAGTTGGTTTGTGATTGCATGGTTCAAACTGATTTCTCGTCAAGTTCATTTCTAACAAGTCAAACTCTTCAAATGTGAAGACATCTCAAAATATAAATGTCTTATTGAAAGGCCTAACCCAGTGTGTGTGTTTATTGATTTAATAGATCGTATGTCATGTATACATATAGTGAATAGTAAGAAGTATAGATTGTCAAAGTATACTAACATTTCCCAAAAGTCATGGGTATGTAAAAGAAACGGCATTGTACCTTAATGTCCTGAAAATGCCCAACTCTATATTAGTTGTTCTCTGGCATCTGGTGAAGCTACTCATGGCAAGTTGGCATGAATTATCAGCATTCAAACAGACCATAATAGTAGATGCCAGACATATGGAACATTCCATTTCTGAAATTGTGGAGAGATTTGACATCACTTGATCTACAGAGGCAGATGTGTACTGAAAATACTTGATGGAAGGCATTATCAATCACCATGAACAACACAATGGTTGCCTCCAGATCTTTAATGACAGCGACCAGAGTTAGCTGGCTAGAATTGTCTGTGGTAACAGACAAGTGACACTGGCACAAATCACATCTACTTTCAGTGATACCAGATGAATATGAAGCTGGTCAGTTCAGTATTGTTTAGCTTTCTTGATACCAAATACTGTGCCTCACTTGGGTTTGTGATGTTGCTAATTGGATTTCTAAGAAATGGTAACATATGGCATGGTCTGATGAGTCATAGCTCCATTTGTTTCGGGCAGATTGTAGGGTTCAGATATGGCACACACTTCATGAACACATGGATCCCAATTGTCAAGAAGGTACCACGAAGGCTTCTGGTGGTGGTTTCATAATGATGTGGGGTGTGTTCCTGTATGATAGGTTGGTTCTGCTAGTTCACTCAATGTCATTTACTGGGAGCTGTTTCATGACCCCCCCCCCACACACACACACACCACCATTCATAGACTATATATTCAAAAGATGACAGGTTATTCCAGTTGGATGAAGTTGCTGAGAGGAGTATTTAAAGACCTAACATAACATGAGCCAAATCAAGCTTATATGAGACATGGTGGAGAAGTCTATTCATATGCAAGATCCTGCATCAGGAAAATGGAAAACTGTCTAGATGGTATGGTACAACATCTCTCCAATAGTCTTTTGACCATTTATGGAATCAATGTCACAATGCTGGGCAAGGGAGATCCCACATAATACAGGACACCTAACCCAGAACTTTTGGTATGTCAGTATATATGTACAGGATATAAATAGCCAATGTGTACATTACATAGTTATTCTTACAATTATTAAGTGATGTCTTTATGTTGCCATATAATTGTTGTCATGCATATATACAAACATATCTCCAGTCTGGAAAAGCCAGACTGAGAGTACATAAATTGTGTGATTAAGATAAATTATAAATTTTTATTAGTTTTTCTTACTGGATACAAGGTCAAGTTTGACTTCTTTATTTACACTTCAAACTGCTTATTTTAACAGCTGTAGAAGACAATCTGTCTATTTCTGAGATGAGGTATTGTAATTATTTACACTATTTACATCATTTGGACTCTTGTCCTCATCTTTATTGCCATATTCACAATGTTTCAGCTGTTGTATGCTCCAGCCTTCTTCAGATGATATATGTTGTAATTTTGAACCAAAGCCTTTATTTATTGCAAAGGGATAGGTTGGTCTAATTCCACATGCCATACCTGTTTTTGGATATCTCATTTTCAGTTAATTTCCTTTAATAACTCTACTCTCCAAGTTTTTGTTCCCTCTGCTGTGGTCAGGTACTGAACTCACAATTCTTTGGGTTAGGTCACTTCCTTTGGATTGCTCAAGCAATGCTTTTATCCACTGGGTCAATGTATATCAATTGAAGAAGGCCAAAGTGTACAATGACTGAAACATTATGAATATGGCAATAAAGATGGGCACAAGAATCTGAATGATGTAAATAGCATAGATTTAGAGTATAATAACCAAGAGCATTTTTATAAAAAAGTAACAAGAATAAGATAAAAGTTAAACTAGTCAAAATTTAATCAGGAAAATACTTCATCTGAAGAATTTAGGTAACTTGAGATTATGGAGTACTATGCAATCAGGATTATTTATATAAATGTTAATGAGTAACATTTTTGATAATCTTCATATCCCTTAAAGTAATATCAAACTAATCTTAAAGTATTTTTTTGATTTTATTTATTATGTCTTAAAAATAGTTACACTTAAGGACTTTTAGAATTTAGTAAATATAATTCAGTGCACTGATAAATATCCTAAAGCATTGTATTAAAGTTTTTGGTATTGAGGCTATCAATAAGAAATATGTGTACAATAAGGATGAGATGAGCCCTTATATAAATTTCTTATTTCTGGATGAAACAATTTAGTTTTTCAAAAACAACAAAACTACAAGTGTCAATAATCCTCAACTTGTAACCATGACATTCCCATAATTTTAATTAAAACTGTTTTTTTTATTTATTTATTTTGTTTTAAACATATATATCAGCTATCAAACTGAACAGATGAGGAGGGAACAGATAAAATGAATATAAGAGATGGTTGTAAACTAAATTACCTGAAGAGCAGAAAATGGAGCAGCATTTAAGAAAATTATGTTTCCTTTAACATAATAATATCTTTTCCTTATAAAGAGTTCTAGAAAGTAACTTTATTCAATTCAGTAGTTACTCATGAAAAATCTCAGTATCTTTTGGGTTATTAAAATCTTTGCACAAAAGAAATTAAAGATGAAGGATCTAAGGATCTAAGAATCTAAAAAAAAAAACCAAAAAAAAACATTGTAAGAATTGATATTTGACTGACTTTTTATGATGTTTATTTTTAGTCAACAAAAATGTATAAAAACAATTCAAAATGCAAACAAATGAGGAAAATGAATCTTTCAGTTATAAAAACAATTAGCAAAAAAAGGCCATTGTTGTGAAAGAAAGAAAAATCAAATAATGATTTGTAAATAAATTTAGAATTAATGTTAATTGTTGGAATTGGTGAGTGAGTTGCTGCAAATATCTCCTAATTCAGTAATTCTTATTCACAACTGCTATAAAGATAAATACAGATCTATGATGGGAGAGAAAAACTATGCTTTAAATAATATCTAGAAGAATAGCTTAATGAAAAATTAAAATGTTAAATATGCTGGCCATAAGAAAGTAAGTGTTAATTTTAATATTTGTAATGCAGACTGAAAGAGAATAGCACAGTCATATAAGCTTTATTTACTCTTGTTAATGAAATATTTGATCTTTATTTTGTATAGACATTCTGCAGTCAGAAATATATATGTAACCATGTTAATCTAAAGGTAGATTAGTAGTTAGAAGAGGGGTGGGGGTCTGTCCCACTTAGCAAGTTATAAGCGCTTGTAATAGCTTAACTGGAATTCCTTGCAGAGTGCAAAGAAGTTAAGTATGTTTTTACCTTCGGTCAAAGTCATCTTCTTTGTCTTCATAACATCCATTCATTAACTGATTGGGGGTCCACTTGATAGTGAGACCTTCAGCAGACTGGTGAAGAGACAGGTATCCAGGAAGGGCTTCAACATCTTCTTTCTGCAACAGAAGAGGCAATTATTTTTTTTTTTTTTTAATGTAAAACAAAAGAAAAAGTAAATCACATTGAAAAAAGAAAAAAAAGTAGAAGGGGGAAAGAAGAAAATGGCTAACTTTATGCTAATGAAGGATAACTTTCAAGGATGTTAAAGAATTGCTTTAATCTATATGAGCAGCCAGAATTTCATAATCTGTAGAGGGAACATGCTTTTTTGCTCTACCATGACACTAGAATAGAAAAGACAAAATCATTATGAGTCTATGTAGAACTTTAATAAACAATGTCTAACATTTTTGTATTATTCTTAAGGTTCAAGAACCTATGCCAAGTTTTCATTGTTTTAGACTATATTCATATTAAGAGCAGAAAACCAATATTTGATATCACTTGGCCATTGGTGTCATGTGGAAAGAGGGTAAAAAAAAAAACGTGACTTAGGTCATTCATTGGTGTCATGTGGAAAGAAGGTAAAAAAAACGTGACTTAGGTCATTCATTGGTGTCATGTGGAAAGAAGGTAAAAAAAACGTGAGTTAGGTCATTCATTGGTGTCATGTGGAAAGAAGGTAAAAAAAACGTGACTTAGGTCATTCATTGGTGTCATGTGAAAAGAAGGTAAATGAATGTGACTTAGGTCATACTATCTTTTCATAGGCAGGTCTAACAGCAAGATGAAAAAGGTCAGGACTTTTGTAGCCTTGTTCTCCTACTCACAGAAAATCCTAAAACTAAATCTAGAAATTTCATTGCAGCTAGGCATTTGCCAATTGATTGGGTAATGCTTCCATGTGACATAATTACATAATACAGGATAAGCATAGCATAGTTTTCAGAGACAATGAATGAAATGGTATATGTATGGTCACTTTTCTGAAAACATTTAAATTTAAACTGAGTCTTATACCCTAAAATATTGTATTATTCTATTACATTTCAGAAAAGCTTTACTTTTGATGAAATAATTTTTATTCTAAATAAACAGAAAAAGAACACTGAATAATTTGAGTGGAATAAACTGTAGCATAACAAAGGTTAACATATGCAACAATGTGCATATGCATTGTCTTAAAAGGGATAATAATATATAATTCAGTAAAACAAAAGAAAAATATAGCAAAATATTTAAAAGACATGTTAAGACACTTTAAACCTATAATATACAGTGAGTAGAAAAGTAAAGAAAATTGATTTATCGATATTTGTTCTTATTTTTAGTGTCATATGAATAGAGATTGAAACAAAACTTTATTTTCATGTTTTACAATATTTTACCTGATAAAAAATTAATCCTAACAATAAATATTTGGATGCATTCAGAAGTTGATTATAATGACGGGGTTCAATAAAGCAAAAGTGAAGTGTGACTATCAATTTAGTAATAAAATATAAACAAACCAAAATAGTATGAACAGCTAGGAAAATTACTAGCCAATAACTCCCCCAACAAAAAAGAAAAGAAAAACAGAATAATGACATGAAAATATATTCAGACAAAATCTTAAAAACAGAAAGCATTTTATTGAAGCCATGAGGATACTGTGTCTCTTTCTTTATCAATTACATTTACCAGCCTGAATGTTCGAGAAATTTGATAGAAAATATGTGATTCTCCAACAGCAATAGAACCTGTAATCTCAATGGGAATTATCATTTGCTAATCAGATGCTTCTTTGTGGCTGAATGATTAACAGCACTTCAGATCAAATGATGGTTCCCATTAGGGTTACAGGTTCAATTCCTGTTCGAGAAGCACATATTTTCTATGAAGCATTCAGGTCAGTAAATGTAATTACTACTGTTTATTTAAAAAAAAACAGAGCATTTGCTTAAATAAATTGTATCTATTAAAATGAGATATAAAGAGAAAATATTGTGGCACCTTGCATTATTAGAAATATTCATAGAAATATGATTTAATTTTTTCTTACTCGGTTTACTAAACAGGTTGTTGATTTTTTTTAAAACGGAAAATAATTGAGTTGAAAATAATTCACTAAGATTGTACTTAGACGATCCTAAAGGGAAGAAGAGGAAAGAAAAAAAAGAGAAGAAAGAAAGGAAAAAGACATGATATCAAAACGGGCCGCTTGATGAAAACCAGATAAAAGAAAGAAAAAACATCTGACCTACATTTTGTTTTGATAAGAGAATCGGTAGAAAGACTCATTATCAATTTGGATTTGTAAAAGGAAATTTTAAGAACAATGAGAACGAAATCTTAATCAGAGAAAAAGTGTTTTTGGGTTGAGGGGAGTGACCGGTGGAACTATATACAGATCCTGACCTATTAAGAATTGGAAACCCACGATAATAAAGTGGGAACATTTTCAATGTAGATAATTAAGATTTTCTGACTGTCGGGTCTGACAAAGACGGAGGTGAAGGGGACGATTGTCTCAGTTCACAGATAGCGCCAATATTCTTCCCTGAAGTCACATCTAATTAGCGGCGGGCTGTTTGACAGAGCCCAGGTGAGAGAAAGCCAAGATTGTCATTTTTTCAGATGCGTGCAAAAAAGGCAAAAATTGATTTTGTTTTTTTAAAACAAGAACGATGTAACCACGCCCGAAAGGAGGAGAAAGGATGCTCGATCAATAACAATTGGTCGGAAACGGTCACGTGATCTGCAGAAAAGAAGAGAAAGAAATGCCCGATCAGGAACCATTGGTCGAAAAACGGTCACCTGACATACGAGAGACTAAGGAGATGGGTGTGCACCTCCCCACCAAAGGCACTGTGAGGAAGTAGGGGTGAAAACAATAGCGATAATGGGAAGTCAAAAATAATGCGACTTTTGGAATTATCGAGAAACCCCTGACGCCGACAGACCCCACCCTAGTTTGTTGCGGCGTCAATAAAAGCAGGACCCCAGTCGACAGAAATCAGTTGGAGTGGAGTTGCAGCTGGACCGCGGGCAGGGATAGAGCCTGAACGCGGCCATCAGGCCCCGATTCACTCGCCCCTTTGCGGGCAAGAGAATCCTCAGACAAGAAATCCTTCCAGCCCAAGTCGAAGACAGAAGTTCAGCCCCGGACGGCAGCGAGAAGAGTTCAGCCCCGGACGGCAGCGAGAAGAGACCACCTCGGACGACAGAGAGTTGCGGCTGAGTTGCGGCAAGAGATCCTTCCAGCCTAAGTCGACGAAGAAGAAGAAATACAACTCAAGTCGAAGAGAAGAATCAACTGCGAATGATCGATAGAAATTAGCCCCAGTGGTTTGTTTGTTTAAAACTTAACGACCCATGGATATATATATATATATATATATATATATATATATATATATCAGCAAGAGATCATTTAAGGTCAAACAGTTGTTTTTGTTTTTTTTTTTTTTAAATAAGGTTTGAAATGCTTTCAAAAAAAACTTTCACTTTCCTTTCATCATTTTTTTTCGATGTTGTCTTGCATTTTTTGTTTTTTAAAATTCACTGTTTTCAGAGGTGATCATTTGTTCTTTGAAAATTTCTCATTCTTTTTTTTTCCGACAAGTATCAAAAGGTTTCCCTTTTCATCATCAGACACCAAATTGGAATTATATTTTATTATATAGTCCAACTTTCCTAAGAAATGTCAAGATCAAATTGGGGTTTGATTTTTCGAAAAGTTCTTTCAAATTGTTCGCGTTGTAAAATAGTTTTCGAATATGTGCCATGTCACCGCAATCAAGCAGGAAGTGCTTCACGGTATAAACCTCCTGGCATGCTATGCATTCAGGAGGGTCTTCATCTTTTAGTAGAAAGGAATGAGTTATGCGAGTGTGACCTATGCGAATACGGGATAAAACCACTTCTTCTTTGCGTGATTTTCTGTGTTCAGTTAGTTGTTTCTTTAGAGAGGGTTTGATTTGAAATAATTTGTTGTTTTGACAGCTGTTCCAAGCATCTTGCCATTTCTTCAAAATAAAGTCATTTATTAGGGGTTTATAGTCAGTGTATGGAACCTTTATGTTACTTGTGTTAAGTTTCAGAGAGTTTTTTGCAGCCACATCAGCTTTTTCATTTCCATGAAAACCAGAGTGGCTGGGAATCCAACAGAAAATGATAGTTTTATTTTGTAAGATTGCATGTATTCTATATAGGAGTTTGATGAGCAAAGGATTGTTTAATTTTTGGTTTTTTAATGATTCAAGTACTGATAATGAGTCTGCAAAAATAATAAATTTATTTAAATTATGTTTAATGATGAGGTCTAGAGCTAAATCAATGGCTGTAATTTCAGCACTAAAAATTGAGGAGTTGTTAGGTAATCTTTTCTGTAGAACAGTACTTTTAAAGATAGCTGCACATCCTACTTTGTTTTTGACTTTGGAGCCATCAGTATATATGTGGGCCCAATTTGGGTATTGTTCCAGAATATCATTTAGTTTTTCTATATAGTATAAGGGGTGTGTGTCAGATTTAGAGTGGGCAGCCAGTCTTAAAATGACTTTTGGTTGTTCCAATAGCCAAGGTGGATGTTTGGATAGCTTGAATTCATGTATACTATTTTGTCTATCACACTATCTGTGAGTGGTTTTATCATTTTTTCCATGTAAAGACCAAAAGGTTTGATAACATTTTCTTTTTTGTCAAACAGAGGTTTATAGTTTGGATTGAATGTGCATTGATAGGCCGAATTTGATGGATTTTTCTCACGTCTCAGTTTTAGAGGGGCCTCATGAGCTTCAACATATAGGCTTTCTATGGGAGATGTTTTAAAGGCACCAAGAGCAAGTCTTAGTCCTGTGTGGTGGATGGGGTCAAGAATTTTTAGGTAGGATTTCCTGGCTATATAATATATATGAAACTTCCATAATCCAATTTGGATCTTATTAGTGTTCTGTATATTTTTAGGAGTGATATGCGATCTGCTCCCCATTCTGTGTTAGCTATAACCCGCAATAGTTGTAGTGTTTTGAAACATTTTTGTTTTAAGTATTTCAGATGGGGAATGAATGTGAGTTTTTTATCAAATATTATTCCCAGAAATTTGTGTTGTTCGGTCATTTCTATTTCGGTT